TATTTAATTCATACAAATACTATTATGAAATAAGTACATATTTTATTGAAATGTAAGACAATAGTGTATATGTATATGCGCGCACGTGTCATGTGCTTGTATGTATGCATGTAAGTGTATATTTCAAATAATAATATTTTTAGTAATTTCAAACAATAACATTTAAAATAATAATGTTACTGCAATAGATCTTTTTTTAAAACGCAAAACTTCCATTATTTATAAACAATTAAAAATTTTTAAAGAAAGTAATTTTTATGCATTTTATTTGTTTTAAGTAAAACATATTTTTCAAACATATTATCTTGTAAACAATTTTTTATTCGAAAATATAACTTATACTTATTTGCGTGTACAAGAAAGAACTGAGCAACATTTGGAAGATTTTGTTTTGTTTCTCTTATTTTTAAACTTCTATTTCTTAAACCCTTATTTTCTTATATTTGCATTCGATAATTCATAAATAATATTTATTTATGATTTAAAAGTGACGATGATTTAAAATTTAATTGAGTGAAATATTATTTTCAAATAGTGTTTGATTTAAGTATTAAATCGATTAACTATTTTCGAACAATATATGATTTAAGTATTAAATGAAATAATATTTCCAAATAGTATTTTGAAAATATAAGACATATTTCAATTTTCAGTATTATATTTTGTCTCATACTAATTCAATTTTTCCTCAGTCCAAAATTGAAATGTACAATGATTCCCATTAATATTCGGATACTTAAATTAATATTAAATTAATATTAAAACTGTTTCTATAAAAAAAAAAAATCGTACGACAACAAACCTGGGCTCATTTTAAAACTTGAATCCTCTACTTTTAAAGTGCATCGTTCATTTTATATTAGCCGATAATCCATTATCAGAACCTGAATTCTTTAGTATCCGTATTAGATTCCGTGCATTTTGTATATGTAGCCCATGCAAATCATTAAATGAAATTCTTTCACAATATTTTAGTGTTATTAGCGTAAAACGTTTATTAATTAAAACAAAATGTAAAATTATCAAAAAGTTGAAGAATAGCAAGTGTACGACAAATGTAACTCAAAAATAAATCATTAGGAAATCAACGATCAGTAGTATGAAAAATCAATTGAAAATTATCTATGCAACGAGGATTTACCTTCTCATTCTAAAACATTCATAGCTTTCAAGAAACTAGAATTAGATAGTATGGCATAAAAGGCATGCGACTTCAAGCAATTATTATGTTAAAAGGTTTATATCTTTTAATGTAAATAAACATAGCAAATACAAAATTATGGGGTTCTTAACATTTTACATCTAAAATATATGAAATTTAATATAGAGAAAGCTGTTGTTCTATTATCCGAACATATTTCTTTTTCAATTAATTCCTAAATACATACGATTTAAATCGTACAGCATCTAACATTTTAAATACCATTCGAAATATTTTTCTTTTTTTTTTTTTTCAAATTATGCCCAAATTTTTCCTCTCGCCAGAAATTACGCAACAAGCTGTAAGGTGATAAAATGTTTCTAGATAAATTATCCAAGAAAAATGTTTTATTACTCATTCAGCGTGGAATCCCATACTTACCAAATACATTACACGTAATTGGAACCAACCTGACATTTCCCTTCAAGACTATCCATAACGTAAGACATATTTATGACCTTTCAAATAATAAAAATTTTGTAGATGAAAATTGAAATGAAAAATTTGAACGAAAGTACCCAAGTATGGCTTATATAATATCATGGGAACCGACAAAATCATAGCGAAAGGAATGCGATGCTGTTCTGCGGTAGCGAAATGTTCGAGCAGCTTACGGTGTACAAGTAAAATGTAACTCCAAGCATTCGAATTTCGATGCTTTGCATTAATAGTGTAATTTTTATTATTTAATCGTCAAATTATTTGTTTAATTAACTATTTAATTATTATAATAATTAAACGCAGTGCTGGATTTTATATTCTATCTAAAATACATACTATTTTATTTAAATCGGACAGAATTCATATATCTAAGATATTAAACAATATTTATTTCGCCAAATACTACGCAGTTCTGAATCCAACAAATGAGTGCAATAGAGCTTCCCACATCTGGACTATAAAGAGACAAAAATGTTCGGTTAATGGAATTGGATAATAGAATAAACAATTTTCTGATATTAAATCGTATCAAGAAAATCATTCACTTATTTTAATTTACAAGAATATAATATCTAAGAACAAAAAAATAAATTTCGATATTTCAGAATTTAAGAGTTGTATCTTTATTGGCTGCTGAATAATCTAATTTTTTAGATATAAGTAACTCCGTTAGGTTATATTCTTTTTGTGCTCTAAATTTCTTCTCTAAATACTTTCAGTATTTGTATAAGTGAACTGAACTACGTCTAATCAGGATAAAGTCAGAGGAAGCTCTGATGGAAAAGCGATTCTGATATGTCGATAATCGAAACTTG